TTTTGATTATATTTCCCCCCCAGGAGGTTGAAGTTGATACAATTGATAAATCTCCAATATTAGAGTGTACTCATAAGTATGATTTCCTTTAAATATTATTTATTAATTTATTTCATTTTGTAATTTGTATCTAAAATACATAAGAAACGAAAATTATTAGCTTTCCTCACTATAGTTTCAGTAGAAGTAAATATTTCCATTTACTGATCGCACCGATTGAAGGATTCATATCTCTAATTGGATAATGAGATACTATTTCTATTGGTTCAGAATAGACAACAAACACATGACTGAACCCTGATTGGATCTGGCGCTAATGGACTCGGCATACAGGAGTGTTCCCATTTGTAGACTGGTTTCTGTATGGTTTCTGTAAACAAGAAATAAATGCTTTTCCTGGATGATTAGAAAACATTTTTTAATTTTCACTTCTGTGCTTTCCACTATAGCCCCTCCCCACCCGTCCACTCTGCTAGCCGGTACACTATAGTATATGCATTCAGTCGTACCGTCCAGTCTGGACTACCGGGTGTAGAGTAGACCCAGCACGTTTAATGCAACAAATGTAACCTGGCTAGATACCAGCTATTATTTAAGCTATTTTTCTTTTTTACTCCCCTGTATTTACCATATTGGGAGTAGAATGTATGCGTGCTTAGGCTTCTATGATTGTGTCATGATCTTTAAACTATGCTACACTCAAATATATAAATAACACACGTACGTATAGGTTTATATAAATCAGCTTACTGTCGCAGATTTCAAGATATCGTATTGTAATATTACAACTACAGAAGTATGTATTTTGTATATCAAGTTCATTTGTAACATTCTCCTGGGTGTCCAAATAAAACTGAGGAATTTAAACAAATCGTACTCCATTAAAAAATAAGTCAACTTAGAACAGTTAAAAAACAAACTTAAAAATATTTAATATATTTAGAGATATTGTTTCATCCTTATAAACAGTATCTGATTTATAAATACCGCCTTTTTGCCAACATTATCTACCCATGATTCCCCAAATGCAAAAGAGGGACGTTATAAGTTACTTTACGTCCCTTGGGACAATTAGTTATATCACGACCCGCTCTGCGATGTTTTTTTAAAAAATCGCGCATTTCATCTCAAAAGACGATACAATTTTTTGAGAATTTAAAAATCCAAAACATCCTTCGCTGCGCTAAATAGGTCTTGGGAACCCTTTGGTAAAGTAAAATTCCCTGAACTTCCCTGTAAAGTAGTAATAAATAATTGTTAATCGTTTGAAGTAGCTTTTCCTTAAATTGTCATTCTGTATAAAATATTATCTATGAATTAAAAATTAATGATTTATTGATTTTTTAAGGCAAACAGAGCAGTGCCATTACACCTACGTGACAAAATTTACCCCGACCCAGGAGCAATTATGTGAGGAAACATTTCAGAAGAAATGTCAAATATCATTCAAACAACAGGAAAACATGAACAAAATTTTTTTTTTAACTGGAGAAAAGTATTAGATTACAGGGAAAAACCAATGCAAAACAGGAGCAAATTATTGGGAAACAGGAGAATATCTTTATGATATGGAGCAAATTATTGGGACACGGGAGAATATCTTTAGGATATGGAACAAATTATTAGGACACGGGAGAAAATGTTTGGGAAACAGGAGCAAATCATTTGGAAACAGGAGCAAATATTTGAAAACAACGAGACAAAGTCGGAAGAGAAAAAAAACTGTTTAAACCTTTTAACTTATAAAGTTTTTTATTATGAATTTGTCGTGTTCACCCAGGCTGTGAATGAGACGGTAGAGAAGTGTTACAAACCAATTGAGAAGGTGAATTTTCAATTATACAATAAACTGGGGAACGAATAGAGCAATAAGTGTAGTAAATGCCCTACTCTATAAGAGTCTCTCAGACCCGTATCAATCCAAGTAAAACTAAATCCCTCTTGTTGGTCATGCTAATCAGTTAAACACCTCTTCACGATCAATTTCAACACATATGCAATCTCATAGCTATCAATGTCAACATGGACACGATCTCGTAAACTATCAATGCCAAACATGGGCATGATCTCATAATCTATCAATGTCAACATGGATACGATCTCTTTCAATGCCAAAAAGGGGCACAATCTCATAAGCTAACAATGTCAAACACGGACACCAACTCATAAATTATCAATGCCAAACAACGGACACAATCTCATAAACTATCAATGCCAAACATGGGCACGATTTCATAAGCTATCAATGTCAAATACAGACACAATCTCGTAAACTATTAATGTCAAACACATACATGATCTTATCAACTTACTTGCTAAATGAGGAATGATTACTTCTCTCACTATAATCAAAGTCTATTCCAACTGAGTGTATTATGAGTTCTTGGTTACAGATTAAGTTTAATAGAGGTATTTACAAGTTTTGCGTTGTTATATACAAACATAGTTAAGCAAATCATATATAGGTTGGACATAGTTATTTATAGACATATCTAGGTTTGCTTAATCGCAATACAAGATTTGCGTAGTTACTGATAAGCTCAGTTAGACAATGTACAACGTAATGAATCCAGGTTGCTTTGGGATCTGCCACTGTATTTATTACATAATTGCAAGCTTCGTTTGAACCACTTTTCTTGAATTTGAGCTGGCATGTATAGGACAAGTAGTTGAACTATGTAGACTAAGTTGAACCACTATTTTCAAATTTAAGTCTGCCTGTAATATATGGTAAAGTTGAAAATAAAATACGTAAACTAAAATAAATCAATTTTATTTTATTTAAGCCAGCGTGCAAGAGAACTTTGTTAACTTATTTCACGCAGTTCAATTACTTCTAGGATAGATTTAGGATAAATACAATGTTTTTCCTTTATTTTCAATTTAATTTCTTTTTATTTATTTTTTGTATAGGTTTGCAACGGACAGGGACCTGAAGAGTGTAGAACTATTTATGAATCCTCCTGCACAACTAAATATATAGAAAAGCAACCAGGTATACCATGGAGGATTAAACTGGTTGTGCACAACTAAATATATAGAAAGGCAACCAGGTATACCAGGGAGGATTAAACTGGTTGTGAACAACTAAATATATAGAAGAGCATTCTGGTAAACCATGGAGGATTAAACTGGTTGTGCACAACTAAATATATAGAAGAGCAACCTGGTACACCCGTAAGGATTAAAGGGGATTAAACGTTAAACGGACCGCGTTGACGTATAGGGTGTCCCAATAAACATGGGAATTGAAAAACGACTTGAATGTTGTCCTTCATTTCCAATGATTGATAAATGATAAATTGCATCAGAAAAATAAAGAAATTTTATAACTGAGCTTTTCAAAATAAGGTATACCTCCTCTGTTCTTAAAAATTGACGGAGATATTAAACATTTCAATAGTTTTGTTGAGTTTTAGTTATCTGGAATCTGGACAAATTTCCTGATATCTCTCTGTCTATTTTGAAAGTAAAAAGTTGCATAGTAGACTGTGACTAGCAGTTTACGGCGTTAAATGTTTTAACTGTGATATCATGTTTACGAAATAATCACTCATATAACAAAGACGATATAGAAGTTGTCCTTTAATTCCCATGCTTTTTGGGACACCCTGTAATTGAAAGTAACCCTCCATTTCCCTCAACTTTAGATCTATACAATACATAGCTAGATTCAGACTCTCCAGTCTAGGGTTTAAATTTGATAAAGGTTACATAAGGTTATAAATTATCATGAATCCCTCAAAATTGTAATTTTTGTGTCCAATCTTATTTTGCACACTGAGCGTCTCTACCCCTCTAGCCTGAACATTTCCTGGATTTAGATCCAAGCATGGTTTACAATTGAGAATCATGCAAGACTGCTCTCCGCTCAATAAATCTCCAAATATGGAACACGTGATTAGTTGATGCATGGATACATTCTCATGAATGAATCCATTCTTGTGTTGGATTAAATTTAATCTGAATTCCATCTTCTGTTGACTTGACACAAGTAGAAATATTTATATAAATTAAAAAAAAAATAAAATAAAAATTAAAATAGAAAAACATACAGTTACAACTTTTCCAATTTGAAATTAAAATAGAAGGAAAAACAATTATAACCAACTTAAAGCAGAATGATTGTCGTCATTGTTCTTTCTTTAAATTAAAACACTGTGAAGGATATGGAATATTGTAATAAAAACGTAATTATCAACATCTATAAAGATAAATTATTAGACATTGTCACATTTTTTCTAATGTGCCAGCGTAATTTTTTGCGATATACACTTTAAAAATATTATTTTTTGAAGCGTCGCATGTTATAAGATGAGCCAAGATTTGTGGCTAAGACAGGCTACGGGAGGTTAAACTCTGCAAGAAGTCAATAACATAAAAAAAATCATTTAAAACAACTGATACTTATCTAAACCTACAACTGAAATATTGCGTCAAAATGGGTTTTTAATTTGTTGTTATGATGCGTCAATATGGGTTTTTAATCTGGTTTATGATGCGTCAATATGGGTTTTTAATCTGGTTTATGATGCGTCAATATGGGTTTTTAATCTGTTGTTATGATGCGTCAATATGGGTTTTTAATCTGTTGTTATGATGCGTCAATATGGGTTTTTAATCTGTTGTTATGATAGGTAAGTTTGTTGGTGATTCTCAGTGTGAGAAGCTTCCAGTAGAGATCTGCGGTAAGGGATGTGTTTATGAGGAAGGAGCAGAAGAATGTCATAACAAGGTGAGTTAGTCGAGATGTCGGACTCAATATTTATGATGAAAGCTTTATATTTGGGACAAACAGCTGACTTGTACTTATGAGAGCTCCCATTCGCCAAGAGCTGAATTGTTGATTTCTGATTTGTCTATGCTTTTCATGAGCAGATATCCCTTTGGTTGAAGTCTATGCTTTTCATGAGCAGATATCTCATTGGTAGAAGTCTATGCTTCTCATGAGCAGATATCTCATTGGTTGAAGTCTATGGACTTAAAGAAACTGTAAGCGTAATTTCAAATGACCATCGGCATCCACGCAAAGAAGGCAATGCCCGATTTACAAAGGCACCCTTAAAACATTTATTTACTCAATAATGCGAACAATTTTGCAGTTTTTCTAGGTTTAAAAGTATTTGATTTTGATAACTTCTAAATCTTTTTCTGCCATAGAAATGCGCATTGCCCAAGTCACTTTTGTTGAAAATAAACATTCATATCTAATTTATACTTTATCCTACAAAGCTTTTAATGACACTTTTGGGAATCTTAAGCATTGCTATCATTGCATGGAGGATCACTTGAAATTTCTACACAGTCCCTTATAGAGATATAAAAAAAATGCTTGTTCCATCGGACCATGCAAGTTTTAGACATATTTTATATGTCTGTTTTTAGATTTAACTCTTAATAAATGTGAATTAAAGGTTATCACAGCTCTTGTGGACACTCCTGAAGAGGTCTGTGATCTAAACCCGAGCAAGATCTGCAGGTTTACAACAAAACTTGTACCTCGTCTTACTCCAGAACATGAATGTACTATTGTGCCAAAGGAATCCTGTCACTTGAAGTTTACAAACCCTAAGGCAGGGAAAAAGCCTCTTTTAACAAAATGGTGTTTGGATGAATCAGAACCCACGCCAGGTAAAACAAATTATTTTGAATAGCATTAGCGCTTGATTTTGTCTTGCATGTTGTAATTGTGTCTTATCTCAGGAGATTCCTATGATGAGGGAAATGCTCTAGGAGAACCTCTGGGAATAGATGCAAGGAACAGACCAAGTGATATTCCAGCAAGAGTGGCAACACCAGCAGATAACACGCCTTCTGCTGATTTCACTCCGGCAGCAACCACAATCCCATCTTTACCTGGCTTAGCTGAAGAAACTACCACACCTGCTGAAGTTGACAATATACAAAGTGGAGGCTCAGATGATCCTACGTTTACCCAGTTTGACTTAAAATCTGAAGACCCTTCAAATACTCTACCCAACTCCGAAGATAGAAATCCTTCCAATGCTCAGCCTGATATTGAAACAAATCGTCCTAATTTAGAGATTGAAGACTATGAGACAGAAATTGTTGCTGTAGAAGATATTTCCAATGAGCTTCCTACACCTAATAATGCAGAACCTAGAGATAATGAAGATACCATAAATACGCCAGTCCTTAATGTTTTTACCGAGCAAAAAGCACCAGGTGTCGAAGCCCCTCAGAGTTTTTACGGAGCTCCAGTTGGTGGTCCAGAGGAAGATTATGATAATGATGCTCTTCCCATACCTTCGCCTATATCTCCTGCTAAAACTCAGCCTGGCAACCTTCCATCCAGATCGCAGGGGCAACCAAGTGGTCAAATACCAGACACAACCTATGGAAAACCTGCAGGTTCATTTCCTTCTACTCAAGTAGGTCAGCCCAGTAGACAACTCCCAACCATTCAAGGGAACCCTTCTCCTCAAAGACCTAACCAACAAGGTTCCTCCGGCCCTCAAGGACAACCAGGTCGCCAAGGTCCCTCTGGGACTCAGGGAAGACCAACTCAACAAGGTTCATTTGTTCCTCAGACACAACCAGGGCGTCCAGGTCCATCTTCTCCTCGTATTCAGCCTGGGCAAGCACCTCTTCTTCCACCGGTAGATCAACCTGGTCGCCAACAGCCCAGCCGTCCTCAGGTAAGCTACAGGACCACAATGAATGAGAATTTAATGACAACCAAATATAAAATGGGATGGTTGAACTGAGGTTAATGCCTTGAATAAAGTCTTTTAGGTATATTATTGAATTTTTGCCAAAGAAAAAAAAACTTGCATGTGTAGGGAACCTTTAGTTTAAAGAAAGAGACTAACTATAAGGCTTGTTAGGTTGTCTCTCAAGTCTTCTTCTTTGAGGGTAACTAATAACAATGTATTTACGAAAAATAGTTTTAACAATAAACATAAACAAGTAAGCTACGGCGAGAAAAAATTGTATAAACATACAAAAGGACATTTTCATATATCAATTTGTTACATCCTTATTCTTTACTAGATTCAATGATCAAACTAAAAAGTTTCATAAAATTCATTTATTGGATACTAGCTAAAGTTCCCGGTGTGGCCTGTGGAATTTCTTAAAATGCAATTTGGAAAAAAATCGATTAATAAAATAATTTTGAATATGTTTAAGCCTATTGTACGAACAAATAATTCGAAGGTTTATAAAAGAGCCTTAACAGATTTAAATAATTTTTTCATTTGTAGTTACGCTATACTCACGCATCAGAATTTGCAGTTTACTACTCATTTGTAGTTTACTACTTACGCTATACTCACGCATCAGAATTTGCAGTTTACTACTCATTTGTAGTTTACTACTTACGCTATACTTATGCATCAGAATTTGCAGTTTACTACTCATTTGTCGTTTACTACTTACGCTATACTCATCCATCAGAATTTGCAGTTTACTACTCATTTGTAGTTTACTACTTACGTTATACTCACGCATCAGAATTTGCAGTTTACTACTTACGCTATTACTCACGCATCAGAATTTGCAGTTTACTACTCATTTGCAGTTTACTACTTACGCTATACTCACGCATCAGAATTTGCAGTTTACTACTTACGCTATACTCACGCATCAGAATTCACAGTTTACTACTCATTTGCAGTTTACTACTTACGTTATACTCACGCATCAGAATTTTCAGTTTACTACTCACACTATACTCACGTATCAGAATTTACAGTTCACTACTCACGTTACTCTTGCATTTTACTACTCACTCTATACTACGCGTCAGAATTTGCAGTTTACTACTCACGCTATACTCCCGTATCAGAATTTGTAGTTTACTACTCACGTTACTCTTTTGCATTTTACTACTCACTCTATATACTACGCATCAGAATTTGCAGTTTACCGCTAATTTGCAGTATACTACTCACGCTATACTGACGAATTAGAATTTGCAGTTTACTGCTCATTTGCAGTTTACTACTCACGCTATACTCACCCATTAAAATTTGCAGTTCACAACTCTCTTATCAGAATTTTGAAACCTGGTGCCTGAAGTGTAAAGTTAAAACATATGCTGATGGCGTGTTGATAAATCACAAACTATATCATAAATAATTTGAAGCAATGCTAAATTAAAAAATAAAATTTATATATCCTTTCATATATATAGACATATTTTCAAGCAGTCTAAGCTCTCTACCAGTCAGTGAATAGTTTAAAAAGACATTCATACTTTTGACAAGTTGACGATGCTACCAAACAAAATGCAAAATTTAAGAAGTTTGATTGTGCATATTTTGCCATGAACCGATTTTTTAGCATTCAAACAAACCACGATTTGAAAATAATGAGATAATATGCGGTGCACGAGTTTATAAATCAATGCAAGCCGATGATATACAGCCGGCATACTCCGTGCACATTAGAGCTAAGCATTGTTTTATTTGTTTTTCAACTATTCTGAATCTTTAGACGTATGGAGACTCTACAAAAATTTGAACAGTTCAAAAATATAATCCCTCAAAGGATCTGAGTCTTTGCCACAAGACTCAGATCTTGGCAACCTGAAGGTGGAAACCATTGATATTTTAAACTTAGAATATTTATTCTAACAGAATTCATAGCTTGAAATATCTAAGGTCTACTACATCCATGGGTTGCAAAGATACAGGCACTAGAAAATATGAGTTTGTGGTAAATCCATTGCTCCTATTGTGCATTAACGAATATTTTATTTTGCTTCTTTCAGGTTTAACTTTTGTGGAAATGTTCTTTTAAAAATTTTGTAAAACCAAAACAGAGCACCCCGGACTAACCAGAGTGAGCAGCATTCGGTTTGTTCTATTTGAAATCAAACGTGTTTTTGTCTATAATTCAACAATCTTTTACTTTACGGATTTGTTTATTCTATACATTTTCATTCAACATGCATTACCGACAAAAAAGTAGAAAAGGAAAAAGGCTTACAAATTTTGTTTAATAGGTCAAATTGTGATCGAAAGTCACAGCTTTCTGGAATATTGACAGAACCGTTAAATCCACGTGAGAGAGACATTGATTTTTGTGAAACCTCCTGAAGGCCAAAAATCTTCAACATTTGAAAAACGGATAAAAACGATGCTCAGCTCTAGTGCGGGTGCAAGGTTTGGCAAAAGCTCGAGAATGAAAACACATGATAAACCATGTGCTTCCCACGCGAGGAATTGTTTTCACGGAACTCCTCGTAATTCAAACTATTTGATAATAATTACATTCACAACTTTTGAAAGATTGATTACTTTATTCGTGCAGTAGAATAATATTTGCATTTTGGTTGGAAACTCATGATGATTAAAAAATTTTATTTTTTAAGATTTAAATTTTTATTTCATTGATGTTTGTTTTAACAATTAAATATTACAACATTTCAATTTTTGAATAAAGATGTACATGTACATGTAAAGTACATGTATTTATTTATTAAGTACAGCTGTGTAACAGAGTACTGTTTAAGTTGGATAGTTTGTTGTTTAAAACATACGACACATTTATTAATTTCAAAAAGAATATTTTAAAGGGAAGTGAAAAATGTAAATAAATTGAAATAAGGTTTTAAACAGTAATAAGAAACAAGAAATTAAGAAATTAAAATGCTTGTGTTTTTAACGCAAAAATTAATTGGATTTTAGGTTCAGACATTTATACTTGAAATTATTAACTGTCGTATCATACAAACAAGCATTAAAAATGAGGCATGCAATGATAATTAAAAATGATAATGATAAAAAGGTTAATTGTATTTTGCATTTGTTTAGACAAGATTTGGGATAAAAACGGAAGTAATGTCGATTTATAATTTTATATTTTTTTCAGGAATTCTATGGAGCACCACGCCTGCCCCGATCTTACAGTGTATGGAGGGGCTAAACAACTGCCTCCGTGTATGAGANCCCCCCCCCTCCTTTCCTTTAATTTTCAAAAATTTGTAACACCCTATAATTGCCATGTTTTTCGTACACCACATTTTCTCTTCAATTCCTTACCACATTAAGTTATAATTAAATGAGAATATTAATGAATATTAATGAATATTAATGGCATTTTATGTAACTTTTGGGCATTAATCTGCTAACCACACTTAGTCGTTAATTTATTTATTTATCTATTTATTTATTAAATAAATGTTAAAATCAATATTCTTCAATACTGTTGTTTTTTTGTCAAAAATGCCATATCAAAAAATGAAAAGGCAAATTTGGATGATTTAACATCAATTCCACTTTACTTTTTAATGAGCGGTGATCATGGTAACTAAATTTTTAATTCTTAATACGGAGGTAAAATTCAGAATCTGATCTGCAGTAAAATTTCAATTTCATGAACACAAAAACTTAAGATTACCAAATTATCCCCAAAATAACCATGTTTTTGTGGCAACTAAATAATAACCCAAACAGAGGCCGCTTATAGAAAAAAAAACACCTCCAATTATCTGAATATTTTTCATTTTGAAAAAAGACTTTTTTTTGTGGATTTTTTATATTCATAATATTGAAATTATGGCGCATTGCTATTTTTTCAGGTCGTGGAAAACATGCCTTAAAGTGTTTACACTGTTATAGAGGCTTATCAAGTTTTTAATAAAGGAATTCATTTAGCTCATTTAAAAATTTAAAAAACGCATAGAGTTTCAAAGGAAATTAAACTGTGCCTCAAACTTTTTAATCACTTTATCTTTGCAACCTGATGGGTTAAACCTTTGATCTCAAAAATCTAGTTTTTAATTCTTGATATTAAATTAAACTTAAAATTTCAAATAAGAGAACTATAACTATGGAGTAAGTTGGAATGTTCGGCCTTTGACCAGTAATAGTTTTAAATCGGACATTGATTCCTACGATTGAAGGTTCGGGTTGGGCCTAGATATATTATACAAGATAGATCAATGTCGTCCTCACATCTACCTGAGGGTTTTAGCGGAAAATGAAAATATAAATATTTAGCTCTTTATACTAGCTACTGACGAGTAAGGAAAGGCACACCACACCATTTTCGCACCACAAATGACCACACCTTTTTTCATCCGGGTAACAGTACATTTGATATAAAGAGATGTGGCAAGTGTGAAAGTACTGTCAACATGTCTGAGGGGTTTGTTTATTAACATTGCAGACATGGCTAGTTTAAAGTTGAATTTCAAAGGTTTAGAATGAAAATTAGTTGCTGCTTGCTTTAGACTTTCGAGTGATAATGATAATATCGGACTTCTCCCTTCACACAAGGAGCATAAAGACATTTGAACTCTTTTAACTAGGACATATCTTTATTATGATAATTTTCCCAGTTCTTTCTTTGTTAAGGTGTGGACTAGTTGGGTATTATTCCAATTTTATTAAATTAATCAAATTTTTACAAACAAAACTTTTCTGATTTTTCTAATTTTATTGGTTTTACCCGCCCATACCCCCTTTCATGTTTTGCTAGCACTCCTTATATTTTTTTTATATAATAAGAACTGATATTATAAGGATTAATTCAGATAGAAGAGAAAGATTTTGCAACCCAGGAACCCCACTTCTTCTTAACGCTTCTTGCATTGTCCTAAACAGAGAAATTTGAAAATATCAAGTTTTAGCGGGGAAAAACCCGATTTGCCCCTAAATAAAGATAATTCCTTGCAGTAACGAAGTTTGAAGTATGTTTTATTGATTTTGCCTCAATTCAACAGGCCGGCGTACGAGTGGGGGTCGGGCCCCGCGGCACCCCTCTCCCCACGCTTGCCCCCCTTGAGGGGGGCATCCATATAAAAAAAAATACTTTAATATCTCATTTTTGCCCTTAACTAAATAAGTTTCATTAAAAAAGCTTTAAACCATACTGCCTTCAGTGTAAATATATCTCTGATTATAAAACAATATGTATCGTTCCTATGAAAATATAGATATTTTTAAAGAATCGTTTCCATCTCCATTTTTCACCCATTGAAGCTTACACCACAGTATTGAAAGGGAGTGTCTGAGTGATAAGTCCACTTGGGAAAATTACATAAATAATTTATTAACACTTGTAATATGGAAGTGTGTTTCATAAATAATTTATCAACACTTGTAATATGGAAGTGTGTTCCATAAATAATTTATTAACACTTGTAACATGGAAGTGTGTACTGTGTATATGGTCGAATTGTTTACATTATTAAAAAAGGTAACACGCTAATGCGCGCAAAATGTGCCCCTTCACAACTGCTCTCGTACGCCCCTGGATGAAAATGATAATAACAATTTTTTTATTGAAACTTAATTTCAAGTGACCCTCCATTTGCTGAGGGATATGTCCGATTCACACCTTCATCTGATTATTGTTAAGGTCGGAAGATAACGTCGTTTTCTAGGTTTGCTAGTCTTTAATTCTGACAATTTTTCAATTATTTCTGTAGCAAGGAGAAAGACATTATTCTCATCCCAAGGCAGTGGGAGGACTACGTGAACATGAACCTTGTATACTAAGCCTAATTCTATCAGAGTGTTCGAAAAATATAATAGTCTTTGATACAATGAATTGTCTACCTCTGTTGATTTTTGCATATTCTTATGTGTGTGGGATATTCTGCCGGAAGCAAGCAATTGCTGCTGATTTCAAATGTCGTATTTATTCCCTTATCGACAGTAAGTGTACCCATGAACTGGTTGTTTTTACCCTAAAAAAATCAAATGTATCTTTAAACAAATCTCCATCATAAATAAGCTCTATGACAAATTTTTCTCTATGCCTATGTAAATGATAGTTTATTGAAAAATGATACTGGTTCGGTTTATGCGACTATAGAACTGCTGCATTAAGATTACACGTATCTCATTATAGGGTTATTAAAACGAAACCAAACCATAAAAATATCCGTTTTAATACGTTTGTTTTTGGCTGCTTTCGGTTCGTTTTTGGTGTGATTTTTTGTTCGTTTTCAGTTGTTTTCGGCTCTTTTTTGGTTCGTTTTTGGTTTGTTTTTGGTTTGTTTTGGTTCGTTTTTGGTTCGATTTGGTTCGTTTTTAGTTCTTTTTTTCGTTTTTGGTTTGTTTTTGGCTCATTTTTGGAAAATATTTTCTCTCAGTGTCAAATTTTGGCATAGTGTAAGAAAAGCAAATGTTTAGAAAAAAACTATTTTAAACATTTTCGTCCCTTAATGTGAATACGGATGGGCATCATTTGGGGACTGCACAAGGTCCGTTTTAAACATTCAAAGTTTTTAGACTTTTTAAAAGCTATACAATTGAATCTGAGATATCATTTATTTCAAAGTTATGCTTGGTAAGTTTGCTTTTATTACATTATACAAATTTTACTTAAACCTAAGATAAGATAAGAAACAATTTTGAAAATCGTTTGTGTCGAAACAACGTTTTGCTACATATCTTTGGACTTGGGTTATCAGCGAAAATTTCGCTTTTTTCGAATTCCGTTCGCTCGCGAAAAAATACGGAAGAGAAATTATTAATTATGATATAATAAAACTTATGATGCTTAGCTCTAAGAGCAGAGAATTCCACAAGTTTTTTTGAGCTATTAATTGTTGCAGGCATGGTTTTCTTAGAGTTTTCGTATTTTTTCGCGAAACCCTACGTTGGACATAAAAAAAATGTTGTAAAAACCGATGAAAGCAAACTTATAAAGCATAGAATTCTAAAACAGGAGAAACGCTCAGATTTTAATGGAGCGCTTTTGTGAATAAAAGAGTAATGTTTAAAAGCTGACATATCATTCCTGAGTAGTGACACCATTTGCCAGTCCACATATCTTATTATTACTTCCGGCCACCAGGTTCCGTTCTCCGAGTATTACGTTAAAATCTCCGAAAATCTAAACAGGTTTTTCTGGATTAAAGGGACTATACAGACATATTTCAATTGAACCTTTATTTACAGAGTAGCTTGATTCACAACAGTACTTTCCTATGTGTCATTATAGTTGTTTTTAATACAATTAAAAAAAGATTTTTTAAATTTTTTCAAACTCTAGAAACTTTTTAGAAAATGTCGAAATTCCGATGAAATGTAGTTGAAAAATTATGAGAAAAAAATTAAGATATTCTTTAATAAACAGCTGACCATCAGAAAACTCTGAACCAGGAAGACGACTTTTAGACTCGAGGTATGACTTTAAATAGTCCAATAAACATGAGACTCAGCAATTGATCAGAGTAAATAGACTCATTTCACGTGATAAAATTAAATAAGTATCTATTAAATATATTTGCTTTTTAACAACATTAAATACACTTAAGTGTCGCAATGTCGTCTTTCTTTTCCGTTGTTTTCTGGTTCTTACTGTTTATCTTTAAGAAAAGAATAATCGATTGCCCTACTGATGTATGATTTATGAATTAGTTCATTTTTAGAATTTGAATAGTGTTGTTTATAATTGTTTCCGCTTTAAGTTTTTTTGCCGCAAGATTAAATTTGCTCTTTCTTTATATACCGTGTTACACCTTCCGTCTATTTTGTTTCTTGATCCCCGAATGATTGAGAAGTCTGATTTAATGACTGATTTATAACCGTGGATCTCGTTTTTACTTCCGTTGATGTAGTTGTGATGTCCAATGATTGTATAATTCTCAACATCTGCACAATTTCAGTATTTTAATTTTTAAACAAAAAAAATACTTTTAATACAGTGAGAACCAACAACATTTGACCTTGTCTTTATTAAGATTAACTATTTTGTGTTTTAAAATTGATGCAACAAATAAATCTTAGAAATTGTGTACTCACGGCTTCAAATTACAAAATTCTGCGCGACAAAAGATAAAAGAAGACGACAATAAGACCAAAGAAGACGACAATAAGATAAAAAGATGACGACAATAAGATAAAAAGCAGACGAAAATTAGATGTAAAGAAGACGACAATAAGATAAAAAGAAGACGACAATAAGATAAAAATCAGACGACAAATAGATAAAAAGAAGACGACAATTAGATAAAAAGACGACGACAATAAGATAAAAAGAAGACGACAACTAGATAAAATGAAGACGACAATAAAACCAAAGAAGAATACAATAAGATAAAAATCAGACGACAATTAGATAAAAAGAAGACGACAATAATATTAAAAGAAGACGACAATAAGATAAAAATCGGCCGACAATTAGATAAAAAGAATACAACAATAAGATAAAAAGAAGACGACAATAAGATAAAAAGAAGACGACAATAAGATAAAAAGAAGACGACAATTAGATAAAAAGAAAATGACAATAAGATAAAAAGAAGACGGCAATAACTCAGCTATTTTCTGGACCTCATTATACGTTAAAATTCTGACCTATAATTTCTCCGGTTAGAATGAGGGGATCATTTGAGTTTCTTGATAAACTGCAGAATAATTAGGTTAGGTACAGTAGAACCCGAAAATTGTGAAAAAGGAAAACGACATTTGAGTAACCTGTTTTGTATTCAATGTTGTTATAGGGCAAATCGTCTGAGTGCATTATGCACTTACTGTGTTTCTATAATCATTGGACAACTTAAAATCAAAACTTAAGCCTGAAAGTCGTCTTCTTTTTCACATTTGTATGGGTTTTACAAATTTAAAATTATATTATGCAATGTTAGAAAATTTAACAATTTTTTCAGAATATCGAACTTACAGAGAACATTTCGAGATAACCAATATTGTCTCCGAATTTAAGAATAAAATGTAAAATAGAAATTTTTGACTTGAGAGCCTAATTATATTTTTTTTCGGGAATAACATTTTTTTACCTTAAACACATTGTAATAAGTGAAAGTAAAATCACAGAAATATCCATTTTTCTAGGTTTGATACAGTATAGATACTTATCAAGAATCAATTACTAACTGAAACAAGGAAATATCGTAATTATGGATGTATTTCAAGGGATCGAATTTAATACATTTGAGTTACGCCGCTAAACTTTACCTACTTCCGGTTCAAATTTGAACCATCCGATTCAAAGATAACGGTTCAGGAAGGATTTGAATCGATGATTCAAATTTGAACCGGCGGTAGGCATTAATTAAATTAAGTCTCAGATAAAATAATGGATTTTTTTAATTTTAAATTGCACCAATTTATCCCAACACTTTGTTCGTAACACCGAACAGACCAAAAGTATTTGTAAGTATAATTACAATTACAAAATAAAAAAGTTTAAATACATCCTTAACATTCCGTTTATATTTTCGAATTAAATGTTCGTAAATGGAAATTGTTTCCGATGTAGTTAAATATTACTATAAGAAAATGTTACAATTTATTCTAAAACTGTAGAAAGTGATGAGTGTTAAAAAAATGCAAACTATAAGATAGAAACTATTGCAGAAAGTTAACAATAGTTTTCACTGGAGAGAGTCGAGCACAATTCAACATTTCATTTTTACTCAACATATTGAACAATAGCAGAGCACCAGTATCAGGGATAATCATACTCGGTAAATAGTAGAATTTACAGAATTTGCTTATAAAGTAAAATGTCTGACCTTTCTTTGTGCAATGAAAAATTAAAAGATATTCTAGTTTTTCTATGTAAAAAGGAAATATCTTTGATTGTGGCTTCTCTGTAAAGTGTAAACATGACTTTGCTGCAGAGTTAAAGCAATCGAGAATGAAATGAAGTTGTCAGAATTAAACACTTATAAAGATAAGATGTTATTTTTAAAGCTTTCTGTAAAAAAGTGGTCTAAATATCCCCCTCCCTTAAGCATTCCATGAACCTGAGAGCATTGTATACCCGCCCCCTTCTCCATTTTCTTAAAATATACAAAACAACTACATAAAACAAAAACAAAAACAAAAACTAAAATTTTTTAAAATATTTTATGAACATCATGAATGAATGAATTATTTTTAAACAACATCAATCCACTATTTTACGAATGAATTTAGGAATCCAATTGTGCCTAATGGAATCAAAGTGAATAAATATTTATTCACTTTGTAATGGAATAGGTATAAATGCCCATACTGTGGATTAGATTTAGTTTTATTTTAGACTTCATAATTTCGAGATTTACGTTGAAACGTGGATTAGAAATATTTTTTTAGCTCTAAATTTTTATGAAAGATTTTTTTAGTTTTTCCTTTTAAATCTGTTATTTTACGAATCAGCAGTACTTATTAGGATCCCGTACATTTTAGTTTTTAATAGAACTGTAACAATGGAACCCTTTGAATGTGCAAAAGGTATTTTCGCTGGTCTGGTATGAAAAGTAATTAATTCAATTTCAATTTAGATGTGTATGGAATATTAATATAAAATGCATTTATGCATAATGCAATAAATATAGATAAATCTTTGAAATCCTAAACACTAATTAAATTTCAATTTATCACACCTAATATTTCCCGTTGTAGGGTGATTAAGTGACTTTATCGCCCTACAACAGGGCGAAAAAGTAACTTTTGCACCCTATACTATTAAAATTTCAAATTTCATACCTAATTTGTCTCATTGTAGGGTGATAAAGTTACTTAATCACCCTACAACAGGGTGATTAAGTAACTTTATTGACCTGGTCACTTCCTGGTGTGACTGTTATCAAAAATATTAAAATGTAAATGTCTTAGAAATTCAATAAATAATTTTGCTTGAATATTTAAAATTAACAAAAAATTCTAAATCAAACATTTGATTTTCCATCTTTTCTTGATTATGGTATAAACATTCAAATATTGTATGAAAGCCATTTAGAGGAGATTTTCTAATAATTTTTAAAAAGGTCTTAATTAGGAAAATTAAATCGGGGCTAGTATATCAATACAGGGCTAGGAATGTTTTCTAATAATTTTTTTTTATTGAAAGAAAATTTCTTAAACCAATCTTTCCATTTACTGCAATATAATAATGCTCGAAAAGGTTTTTTTTATAATGAATATAAATCAAAAAAAGGTTGCGCGACTTACAATCAAAACCTAAAGGGACTGTAAGCGTAATTTCAAGTGGCCCTCCTTGCAAAGTTGGCATATGTCCGATTTACAACGACACCCTGAAAAGCTTTGTCTTGAATTAGATATCAATGTTTTTTTTAATTTTAAACACTGATTATTTTCAATCGTGGTTTCTTAAAATTTATGAATTTTAGCTTTAGTAAAACGACAATATCTACAACAATATTGATCAGATAAAGGCTTTAAAGGTACCTTTGTAAATCAGATAAAGGTTTTAAAGGTACCGTTGTAAATCAGATAAAGGTTTTAAAGGTACCGTTGTAAATCAGATAAAGGTTTTAAAGGTACCGTTGTAAATCAGATAAAGGTTTTAAAGGTACCGTTGTAAATCAGATAAAGGTTTTAAAGGTACCGTTGCAAATCAGATAAAGGTTTTAAAGGTACCGTTGTAAATCGGGCATTGTAATTTTTGCATGGAGGGCTACATGAACATTACACAAATGTTTAGAATTTATACTGTCTGTTCCATTACACTTATGATTCCCTACAACTGTACTCTCTTTGCATTACCGTTGAATTAACCAAAAAATATTATATTAAAATCTAAAGATTGGCATTGGTCTTCCATACAGTCTCAATCTTTGTGGGTAACCCTGTACGTTCATAATTACAAAAGTGAAAACAGTTTAAACAGTTTAGGTTTGTTTTCAAATATTTATTAATGCCTCTCCAATCATTCATGAATTAACAAAATATTGAGAGAGAAAAATATTATTTATCGTAAAAAAAAATTTTAAATCTAACTTTATTAAAACTAAAAACTAGTTTAATTTTCAAAGCTAAAAAAATACTTTAACTTAACCCTTTCTGATAGAAGGGATTGGACTATCTGCTTAGAAAAAAAATTTGATGCTATAGTGTGTTTTGAAAATTCTGATATTTTGAATTTCTATTGAAAGCGACCATATATAATTTAATAATACTTTTAAAAAATCTAGAAAATATACAACTTAAAAAAATAATTAAAAATTAATTTACAGAAGTAAAAAAAATTGTAAATATTGAAACTGGCTTACATTGCTACAGAAGTAAAAAAAATTGTAAATATTGAAACTGGCTTACATTGCTACAGAAGTAAAAAAAATTTAAATAAAAATTGCTTTTGTGTAATAAAAGACTACGTTGTCCTAAAAATCTTATTTTATATATTTACAAATGTAAATGATGAATAAATTAATTAATTGCCTTAAACTAGAATAGACGTAGATGAATCACTTCTCTAGTGTACAGGGTGAAGTTAAAGAAAAGCAGTTCAAGTTAGTAACGTAGTTCAACTACATCTCGATATTCATTAAAACTCTATACCATATGCTAACAAAAATATTATGAAAAAACCCTCTACGCTCTAAATCACATTAGAATTTGATAAAATGTATTTCCTGAATTGTGAAGTCATGAATAAAAACTAAAATAAAAAATGGATATTTAGAATTTGGTTGATTACTTTCAATTATTCGTTCATAAAAATGTTTAAAAATAAACCTTTCAGAACACTTTAAAATTCGAAAATATTTTATGTTCAACAAATTTGCTTAGAAAAGAGTCTGAAACCTGCATCATTTATGTTAAAAATAGATTATACTTTGTTGAAAAACAGTAAAAATTTGTTTTAAAAGGTTTTCTTTTTAAACATTCGAGTCTACAACAGGATACTAGAATTTGTCACATTGGAGCCTACAATAGGATACTAGAATTTGTCACATTCGAGCCTACAATATGATACTAGAATTTGTCACATTCAAGCCTACAATAGGATACTAGAATTTGAGCCTACAACAGGATACTAGAATTTGACACATTCGAGCCTACAATAGTATACTAGAATTTGTCACATTCGAGCCTACAATATGATACTAGAATTTGTCACATTCAAGCCTACAATAGGATACTAGAATTTGTCACATTCGAGTCTACAATAGGATACTAGAATTTGACACATTCGAGCCTACAATAGTATACTAGAATTTGACACATTCGAGCCTACAATAGTATACTAGAATTTGTCACATTCGAGCCTACAATAGGATACTAGAATTTGTCACATCCGAGCCTACAATACGATACTAAAGTTTGACACATTCGAGCCTACAATATGAACTAGAATTTGTCACATTCGAGCCTACTATAGGATACTAGAATTTGACACATTCGAGCCTACAATAGGATACTATAGAATTCGACACATTCAAGCCTACAATAGGATAATAGAATTTGTCACATTCAAGCCTACAATAGGATACTAGAATTTGTCACATTCGAGCCTACAATAGGAAACCAGAATTTGTCACATTCGAGCCTACAATAGGATACTAGAATTTGACACATTCGAGCCTACAATAGGATACTAGAATTTGTCACATTCGAGCCTACAATAGGAACTAGAATTTGACACATTCGAGCCTACAATAGGATACTAGAATTTGACACATTCGAGCCTACAATAGGATACTATAATTTGTCACATTCGAGCCTTCAATAGGATACTAGAATTTGACAGAGCCTAAAATAGGATGCTAGAATTTGTGACATTCGAGCCTACAATAGGATACTAGAATTTGTCTCATTCGAGCCTACAATAGGATACTAGAATTTGACACATTCGAGCCTACAATAGGATACTAGAATTTGTCACATTCGAGCCTACAAAAGGATACTAAAATTGGACACATTCGAGCCTACAATAGGATACTAGAATTTGTTTCATTCGAGCCTACAACAGGATGCTAGAATTTGACACATTCGAGCCTACAATAGGATACTAGAATTTGTCACATTCGAGCCTTCAATAGGATACTAGAATTTGTCACATTCGAGCCTTCAATAGGATACTAGAATTTGACACATTCGAGCCTAAAATAGGATGCTAGAATTTGTGACATTTCAATAAAAAGGTTTAGCTTCAAGTAATAGTTTAATTTGAAACCACGCTTTTTCACTAAAGGAATTAAGTCTTTGCCACATACTCTTTTTTTGTATTCTCTATATCTTTGCAACCCAATGTCGTAGAACTTGGATATTTCAAAAAACAAATTCTTTTAGATCAAATAATCTTAGTTTGAAATTTCATAGCTTTACACAATCAGGTTGGAAAGATATAGGGATTAGAAAGTTTTCCTCGCAGTAGATATCAAGAATAAGCTTGGTGTTCTAGACTAATGTTTGGACTTTAGAATATGTTTAATGCAGATTACATAAGTTTTATATATATAAACAATACAGTTTTTATTTAGACATAGTAAAAAATGTACACACGTACAGGATTACTCAAAATGGTGTAGAGGGTTATATAAAAAAGGAGAGACTTTAATGACACCTGGAACTGATTAAATATGACTTTCTGAAGGTTGAATTTTGACGTTCATAGAAACATGAGAGCAGGAATTTCGCAAAATGGTTAAATAAACTCCGTAAATTTAGTTTCATGCTTTGTAGATAACCCTTTATGTACATGTCAACATAGACGCAATAAACAGATTTACAAGTTCCATTATAGACATTTAATGATGTACAGGTATTTTCATAATAGACAATTGACAGCAGTAGCGTTTAATTCAATTTAAATCAGAACAGAAAAAAGCAGATGTTTTGTTTTTGCGTCTTTTCTTAAGATAAGATCATTCCGCTAAATATTTAAATTTCTCGAAAAGTCGGAGATCGAGATTGAAAAGTTTCTTATCTTCTTTAAGGGATTTTAAGTGTGTTTTTAAGAGACCCTTCATACATACATTAGCAGAATATCCCAATCACGACAGAACCCTTAAAAAAATTTGACTGATCATCGACGATAGAGAACTCCGCGTGTTATCTCTAAAATAGAGTTCAAATTGCCGGAAAATCGGTGTAGGCGCTACATCCAGTATGAATTTAACGCAACAGATTTCTTAAAAAAACACGGTTTCCAAAAATTTGTATTTAATTTATTTTTTGTGACTTTTGGAAAGTAATTTAATAAACATCAATCATATTACATTCGAGAACAGCTTGCAAGCAAAGTTATAAACAATTACAAGCGTGTTTGTATATAAATAAGGATAAGTCCATCATCCTTGATCAGTCAAAGGTTTAAAGGGTACTGTTGTGAATCAGTCACTTGAAATTACACCTACAGTTCGTTGCAGAAATTATCTTGAAAGGACGATGTTTAGCATCTTTTCCACAAATCGTCTTCCTTTTCTTCGTAAATCCTCTGAACCATAGAACAAGACTGCTGGAGCAACTACACAGTGGACTATATCCATTACAGATGAGACTAGAAACTGTCGAATCCCTAAACAGTGAGTGGGTAATATGAAATAGGATTTGATGGATTTAATCATAGATAAATAAATAAACATAGATAGCTTATGTACGCAAAATCACAAAGAATTGTACAGTCCGCAAACTCATACTTCTAGGGGTCAAAGTGTACTTCAATGATAAGCGGGGTGGTTTGGTGTTTATAGGATTTCATAATTATTAAACCACTCAGGAGTGAATTTTATTTTGAGAATATCAAATTATCAAATTATCATATTGACGAGAACTGAAGAAGGACATGAGAAGGACTAAACTAACTTAAATTTCTCTCTACAGAACTCATGTACACCACAAGTACTCAATGACATAAGAACAGCCAATGTTCACAACCGACCTAGATAATCTTTATAATGGGAATATCTTTAAAAACATCTCTGTACATTTATATCTTTCAAGATGAAAAATGTCGTCTTATGAGCAATCTATCTTTATCTATGGATTTAATGGAGTTAAAGTTGAGTTTTAATGGAATTTGAATGGAATCAATTAGTTTTTTTTTTAATAAATTTAATGGAACTAATGAGTTGGAATTTATTTATTTTTATTGAATCTAAAAAGTTCGGATTCAGTGGATTTTATTAATTACAAGACAAAAAAAATTGGATATTTTTAAATAGAATCCATAAATTAAATGATAAATACCTAGGCTTTGAGTATTCAGATTGTAGTAGAATGTGTAGAAGCAGATCAGCATTGCAAAATAACTGCACAGGTGTATGATTCCTGCAGATTAAAAATGACTTGAAGGTCGTCTTTGATACTTGAAATAGTTTGCGGCATTCATTCTTCAATCTACTTTTACGTTTATGATTCTTGAAACAATAATCACAAGATTCCCCGCGTTATAACATTTAAAAAAAGTAATCTGCCATTTTTGTGCTTTAAAGATTACCGGGTATCCGAAGATCAAAGTTTGAAATATTACTGGTTTACAAAACAAAGATGAAGGATCCAAAAATCTTTAAATTAATATCGTTCTCATTGTATAAATATTTATATCTAACCGCAAACCGTGTTACTATTTGGACGACAATACCTTTATTTACAATTTAACTATTGTGTAGAAGGATGAGAAGGACAAATCGGATAAAAATACATCGCACAAACAATACCAATTTTAAAGAATTTTTCGGCATGATTTTAATTTCAAGTGACCCATTTATATCAAAAGTTGCATGGCTGATTCACAATGATATATTTCAACCCGTTGTCTGAATTCTAAACGACAAAGATAATACGGTTTTTCTATAGATAATCAATAATTTTCCCTGCGAATGTTCCATAAAAGTGACCTGCAGATTTACGCAGCAGCAAAGAAGACGGAAATTGACAGCATTCTGTACTTTTTAAGAGAGAAAATATAACGATTATTATTAGATAGAAGTGTCACTTAGAGGTAATTAAGAGAGAAAATATAACGATTATTATTAGACAGAAGTCTCACTTAGAGGTAATTAAGAGAGAAAATATAACGATTATTATTAGACAGAAGTGTCACTTAGAGGTAATTAAGAGAGAAAATATAACGATTATTATTAGACAGAAGTGTCAATTAGAGGTAATTAAGAGAGAAAATATAACGAGTATTGTTAGACAGAAGTGTCACTTATAGGTAATTAAGGATCATTTGAAATTACGCTGACGGTCCCTTTAAGTTTAAATTTTTTAAAAAATCATTTAATATTTATTCAATTTAACCAAGAACTTCGGAAACATCGAAAGGATGTATATAATGTCGTCTTAACAATTTTTCAATGGGTTTTTTACTTTTATACCTTAATCTCAGTAATTGTAAAAATTAATAAATAGCCAAGAAATATTCAGCAACAGTTTAAGAGAGCTCCACATAATCATTAAATTATATTATCAGTAGGTTAAAAAAACTTCATTTTAAATATTCTTTCGATGCCTCAAAGTTTATGGGTTAAACTGTATATATATAGTTAATAGAGACCAAAAAAATACCAAGGTTTGCAGGAATAAGGTTTTTCTTCTTTGCTGCATTTTTTTCACGAGCTGAAACATAAATATTTTGTTGAGCCTGTAAGTACCAAGAAGTGAAAAAGTTATTCAAATTAAAGTTATTATAATTTTGATTTTATCCATAACAAAATATGCAAATAGTTATATAGTAGGGTAAACCAAGTTTTAAAATGCAAATGTTTTATATTGAAATGAACTAAAACTGATTTAATTATTTCCGAAAATATTTAAAAATGGCTAAAAATTTGGTTGAAAATCTATAGGAAAAGGTGTCTATGCTCATATATATAACATATAACTAGCTAAAGTACCCGGAGTTGCCTGTAGAATTTAAAAAAAAAAATAGAATTTTGAAGCAAAAAAATTTCAATTTTGTTTAGCTCTTTTTATAGAAGATGTAAGCCGTAGGTGTCAAATGTCCACACGGCTGGACCAAATTGGCTGAAATTTTGTGAGAAACCCCAGGGGTACCATTTAAAGGACATGGGATAAACAAATTTGAAATTTCATTTATTCAAAAATTCAGATTTTCTAATTTTTTCCAAAGTAATTTTTCCCACGGGCAACGCCGGTCACTTCAGTTGTTTTTTCTAAACTTACAAGGGGTATCTTTTTTTTGTTTACGCTCTCAATTTGTTTTCAATTAAAACTTTGGATTTTCAAGAATTAACCAAATTAAAATTTGAAACTGAGTAATTAAAAAACATTTTTTGGAATAAATACTAAAACTAATCTTCAATTAAATTTAGATAAGAGAAGAATATACCTTGCAGGGCAGTATTCCCTTCAGTCATTTTCTTCAAAAACAAAAACAGCCTAAAGCATATTTTTTATTCAAAAAAAAATTATAATGTTTGGACCCTACACTCCTCTCCCTTTTTAAACGTAATATACTGAAATTTTTATACACTCCAAAAAGAACTCTTTGAACCATCTTTGAAATATCTTTGAAATATCTTTGAAACATCTTTGAAATATCTTTGAACCATCTTTGAAATATCTTTGAACCATCTTTGAAATATCTTTGAACCATCATCTTTGAAATATCTTTATACCATCTTTGAAATATCTTTTTAATTATGACTGTACTAAAATATATAAAATTTAGGTTGTAAAAAACTGACTGAATGTAGCAGAATACACTGGTCAAGTTGAACAGATTTCCAAGGAACCTAAAAAAAGTTTAGGTTGACCGTAAAGCTAAAATTACGTGACATGACCCATAACAATAGTTTAATCAAAGTTATATAATAAGTTAGGCTACTCGCGATGCGCTCCAATGTACGGAAAATGTCGTCTCCTGAGCATAGAAAGATAAAAAACCTGTAACATGACGTCACTCTCGCCTCAATAATCTGCGACGTCAAATTAGGTTTTTATCTATCTATCTTAGGAGACGACAATTTCCGTACATTGGAGCGTCTAGAGTAACCTGACTTATAAAACAACCTTAAGTTTAATCAATTCAATTTAATGCAATCACGTGAAAATGGGATTCTATAGTGGGAATCAGAAAACTAGGGAATATGGAGGCAATATTTTAGAATACTTGATATTGTTAGAGCTAACCACGTCAAAAAAAGTAAACTTGCGTGTAAGATTAAAAAAGTTTGCGAAACTAGTGGAGCTACGAGGTCTTAAATTTGTATCATTAATGTTGCATTAATTTGTTAAATAAATCTAGAATTAAACTCACTCATCATGTAAAATCATTTAAAATAAAATATTTAAAATCAAAACGTATAAAAGTCGTCTTTTTATTCTACAGTTTTATAGTTCTCGCTTTATAATGGTCAATGGTCATCTGTGCTACATTTTATATTGTATAAGGTAAAATAAAACTGAAAAGATTGATATGTTCTGTAAAATATAAGATTTTTATTGTGAATGAACTGAAACTTACAGGACGTATTTGGAGTATCCTTTTTCTCCACTCCAGACCACTTCAGCATTCAGACATGCTAGATTAAAATTAATAAAATTAAATAAATTTAAAAATTAGGAAAAAACAGCTATTATCCTATACATCTAACCTCGGTCTATGCTCGCATTTTTATTTCCCAATGTTGAATTTACCGAAAATATTTCGAAGTTTCGAAAATTTTGATATCATTTCATAATTTTGTAAAAAATGTTCTTATTTTTGAAATTCCATGGGCAACGCCGTCGCCAGGCACTTCAGCTATCCATATTGAATTAGATATCCATATTTTTTCTTTAGCGTGTTAATTTTCAATTGCAGTTTTTCTGCGAAAGTGCACTTGCGCATTTCTTACTTAAAACAAACAACTGAGAAATCCACAGAAAATAAACACTTTTCGAATCAGACAAAATGAAGCGCTTTCTTCCACATTTGTTATCAAATTAAGGTTTCAAGGGTACCGTTGTTAATCGGGCATTGCTATCTTTGCAGGGAAGATCACTTGAAATACGCTTACAGTCCCTTTAAGTGTTTACATCTTCTTTGCTTAATTAGTATTTTACATGATGATATGGTTTTATCTATATCTATCTATAGACGGATGTACTTACTGTGGTAGAGAATAGCTGAGTCCATATCGTCTATCAGAGAAATGCAGATGAGAAGAAACTCAGCTCCAATCAGTGCACTTAAAAAAAAATTCGAATAAATCAGCTTGACGACTTTCAACGCATCTTTTATCTACTTAAATTTTGAATGTGATCTGCCTCTTTAAAGAGAGAAACATGCACTGGACACCCTTTAAGTCGTTTGTAATATTTCATCAGTTGTTACAGTCAGCTCAGTCAGAAGATTGAAGAAACGTGTATTACAATTATTCAAAAACCAAGACAACTTATGAAAAAATATTTTATAGACTAATTTGCTGTTTTGGAACATATTTCTTAAAAAAAATAGTCGAATCGTAGAATCGATTATTTCATTATCATCATTCATTACCCTATGCTTTTTCTATAAATTTATTTGCAGATTTCTTGAAAATGTCGTCTTCACAATTAAAATAAAGAAAACCTCCAACAGGCGACCCTCGCTGCAAAAAGTTGCATAAAGCTGTGATATTTTATAATGAATTTTGATTACTTATTTTCAATGATGTAAGTTCATGCTTTTTCTCAACCTGTTTAAATACAGTTTGCAGAATAGTATTTGTTTTTTTCCATGTCATTTAAAAATTGTAAAAAAAAACGTTTCATCTGCAAATTGAAACAACCGGAGTAATACTACAAACAACTTTACAGTCATATTTGAAAATTGTATACCCTAATTGTCTCATTGAAATGAATCAAAAAGTTTTTCTCAACGATAATGCATTATCAGCTAAACTTTGCCATGTCTATCAATCATTCCCTTGAAAGACGTCCAAGATGTCCTCTTTCATATTCTATTCCCCAAATTAAATAAAAAAATAAAATGTTTTTAGAAATACATTGATCAAAGGCGATTTTTAAATATTCTCGCTTAATTTCCACGTGTTTTAAATAAGTTCAAGATGGCGAAATTCAAGATGGCGGAAAAATTCCTGTTTGGCCGACCATGTGTACCTGTACAGAAAGGATTTCCGGTTTAGTACTCGATGAATCTTCACCTCAAGGCTTCCCCTAATTGTAACAAATAATTACATATGACCTAAAGTATTTGACTACACATATGTACACTGTACATACTATACATATTACCTAACGTACAAGTATCTGACTACTGCTGTAAGTGAATTGTAGATGAGAGTTCCCATCTGAAAAATATATTAATTATTTTAAATAAAAGTAAGCTTCGCTTTATCATAACTCCTATTATTAAAGAGCTTTGGAAAAGAACAAAAATGTTTCAAAAAAACTAGAAGAGCTATGGGGTCGCAAAGTCAGATCGGTAAATTCAAAAACCTTTAACCTTCCCTATTTGTCTAGTGGAGGGAAACATAAAGACGTCTGTTTTTTACAATCACCGATGACAAATGATCCGGACAATTGAAATGATAAATTGTAAAAAATTCAAATTTTAATCTTTGTTTAAAATCTAAAATCAGTCAAGAATTTTTGTTCAAACAAAGAGAAAAATTGTTCTTGCTTCAATCTAATTTTTGAATGAAATACAGAGCGTTCCATATCATAAGTTTATCTTGGAAAAGCTGTAACGTACGCACAGTACGCAATCTACCCCCCCCTTGGACAAGAATATATTATGGAAGTAATATTGTATATAATGTATATACAGGAAGAGTACCCAGGCCCCATGGGGATAGTGAAAAAGTTTTCCTTACTTTCTATAATCTCTATTTCTATATCTCTAATCATTAGTAAATAGTTTATAGATATATTTGACTAGATTTATTGAATAGAGAAATGTAGTTCAACCGAAATGATGAAGTTGAACCACTTCTTTGCGCTCAGGTTCAAGTTTAAGAGAACTACGTCTACCCGTCTCAACCTTTAATGATATATATAGCTTGAGCTTTTTTCAATCAATTTATCAATTAAAAGTCTTTATATAAACTGGGACATGGAGACGACAAAAGGTGATAATCATGAGGGGTTGCCAATTTGACTCAAGGAGTAAAAACTAGTAAAATACTCGCTTTTGAAGCTAACCTAGGTCCTTCAAGTTTAAATAGCGATCTGTTTCTGTGAAAGAAACTGTAGACCTATTTTCAAGTGAACCTCCAATTATTGAGAAGCATGTAGGATTCAACTTGTTTCTGATCAAGGGTGACTAGGTGAGAACGTATTTTATCGGCAGAAACTATTCTTATGTTTAGTTATTATTTATGCAAAAATTACAAATTTTCTATATTTTACAATTTTTTAAATGATTCAATATTTCAGAATTTCTGTTTAGCCCCTGAAAATCCCAATCTATAGCTAGATGTGCCAGATGTGGGACTCCCTCTTTCGTTATATATAATTAATTTGTACAGTGAGCCAGATAAATGTGGAATAGGAAGACGACATTAAAGTAATACTTAAAAGTATTTGATAATATTACAAAGCAAATAGTTTTATTACTCTATAGATAACTTTTTCCGAAAATGAATCTGTTTAAACTGAAGAATTGTGTCTCACAATAATTAACTACGTACTATTATATAATTAACATTAACGACTACTATATCTAACGTTAACGACTAGGACTACTACTATATCTAACGTTAACGACTAGGACTACTAGTATATCTTACGTTAACGACCAGGATTACTTGTATATTTAACATTAAAGACTGGGACTAGCTATAATATGCTAACAGTAACGACCAGGACTACTAGTATATACAAACATTAACGACTAAGACTACTATTATATACTAACATTAGCGACTAGGACTACTAGTATATACTAACATTAACGACTAGGACTACTAGTATTTACTAACAGTAACGACCGGGACTACTAGTATATAACTAACATTAACGACTAGGACTACTAGTATATAACTAACATTAACGACTAGGACTGCTAGTATATACTAAGAGTAACGACCAGGGCTACCATTATATCTAACATTAACGACTAGGACTTCTATTATATCTAACATTAACGACTAGGACTACTAGTATAAACTAACAGTAACGACCAGGACTACTATTATATATCTAACATTAACGACTAGGACTACTAGTATAAACTAACATTAACTACCAGGACTACTATTATAAATCTAATATTAACGACTAGGACTACTAGTATATCTATCATTAACGACGAGGATTACTATTATATATCTAACATGAACGACCAGGACTACTATTATATATCTAAAATCAACGTCGAGGATTACTATTTTATCTAACATTAACGACCAGGACTATTATTTTATATCTAACATTAACGATTAGGACTACTATTATATCTAACATTAACGACTAGGACGACTATAGTATATACTAACAGTAACGACCAGGACTACTATTATATATCTAAAATCAACGTCTAGGACTACTATTTTATCTAACATCAACGAGGACTACTAGTATATCTAGCATTAACGACTAGGACTACTAGTATATCTAACATTAACGACCAGGACTACTATAATATATCTAACATTAACGACTAGGACTACTATTATAAATCTAACATCAACGACTGGGACTACTATTGTATCTAACATTAACGACTAGGACTACTAGTATATCTAGAATTAACGACTAGGACTACTATTATATATCTAACATTAACGACTAGGACCATATTATATCTAACATTAACAACTAGGACTACTAGTATATCTAGAATTAACGACTAGGACTACTATTATATATCTAACATTAACAACTAGGACGACTAGTATATTCTAACAGTAACGACTAGGACTACTATTATATATCCAAAATTAACGACTAGGACTACTATTTTATCTTACATTAACGACTAGGACTACTATTTTATCTTACATTAACGACTAGGACTACTAGTATATCTAACATTAACGACTAGGACTAGCTATAATATACTAACATTAACGACTAGGACTACTATTTAATCTAACATTAACGACCAGGATTAATATTATATATCTAAAATTAACGACCAGGATTACTATTTAATCTAACATTAACGACCAGAACTATTATTATATATCTAACAGTAACGACCAGGACTATTATTATATATCTAACATTAACGACTAGGGCTAGCTATAATATACTAACATTAACGACCAGGACTACTAGTATATACTAACATTAACGACCAGGACTTGATATCATATACTAACATTAACGACCAGGACTACTAGTGCCAGTATGGTGCAGGACATCTCCTTGGAGAGTACAGAGGATACTATTGGAGAGAGCATGATACTGAAGTTCCTCCAGGGAATTAGGATAGAGGTGTAGATTAACCTAAACATTACAAGCAGAGTTTAGAAAAATAGGATAATAATATAAAAACTCCTTTATCTCCTGCCGGGCCCTTTTATTAAAATAAATACAGGCTATCCGTGAATTAAAAATCTGACGCTTCTCCCTTTCATTAAATGAAAACCCGCCACTTATCCATGTTAATTAATTTAAACCCCACCACTTCTCCCTTTCATTAATTTAAAACCCCACCACTTCTCCCTGTTGATTAATTAAAACCCCGCAACTTCTCCCTTTTATTAATTAAAACCCCGCCACTTATCCCTTTTATTAATTAAAACCCCGCCACTTATCCCTTTTATTAATTAAAACCCCGCCACTTCTCCCTTTTATTAATTAAAACCCCGCCACTTCTCCCTTTTATTAATTAAAACCCCGCCACTTCTCCCTTTTATTAATTAAAACCCCGCCACTTCTCCCTTTTATTAATTAAAACCCCGCCACTTCTCCCTTTTATTAATTAAAACCCCGCCACTTCTCCCTTTTATTAATTAAAACCCCGCCACTTCTCCCTTTTATTAATTAAAACCCCGCCACTTCTCCCTTTTATTAATTAAAACCCCGCCACTTCTCCCTTTTATTAATTAAAACCCCGCCACTTCTCCCTTTTATTAATTAAAACCCCGCCACTTCTCCCTTTTATTAATTAAAACCCCGCCACTTCTCCCTTTTATTAATTAAAACCCCGCCACTTCTCCCTTTTATTAATTAAAACCCCGCCACTTCTCCCTTTTATTAATTAAAACCCCGCCACTTCTCCCTTTTATTAATTAAAACCCCGCCACT